TGATCAGAGACTAGAGAAAATACCAACTGGAATCTGAGCTGGGGCAAACATTAAAGGCAAATAAGTGCCCCTCGGTGCGGCGGCCCCCCTATCGCCTGACCTTCTAAAATTGACCTATGAATAGACTGGTTGGTGATGATAGTCAAGGGAAGAAGCATCTTTCAACGTACGATTATGGTAGCATTTCATTTACCATTTAGATGGTATTTACTGACCAGCTGTAGGCTTTTTGTTCATTTAGATTTAAATCCATTTAAAGGATTAAATCATGGAATCTATAGGGTACTTGATGATGAATGAAATATATATATTTATATATAAAAAATATAAAGATCAAACTCGTCTCTTTCAAACAATGCCATGCCCTTTTATTTACCCCAGTAGTTTTCAGCTACAATGTTACTTTTCTCTCTATATACATAAAAATGTCAGCCCTATTAACTCGTTAGAAACTTTGAATGACTTAGAATGAATACCATTTAAAATCTTACGTCATCCTAATGAGTTTGGTTCAAGGTAAGCGTGCCTGATGTTGATGGATAATATGTTTTAATCGCAAGATGTATAAGTGTCTTCAAGTCTATGGCCATCATGTCATTTCGTTTATTTAATAATATTAAGTAAATATTATATATATATATATATTTAAATGACGGGGAGAATTGTCCATTTTGTATCGATGCCGTGAGGGAAGAAAACTGGCAAACTCCATCTGATGTAAAGCGGCTAGCTGCAATTGATGGCTAACACCTAACGAAATTGTTGATCTTTTGTCCTGATCCCTCTGAACGCCAAAATTTCTCGATTTCATCAATGAGCACACACACACACTATCAACCTTTGGGGTATGAGATAGAAGTAACAGGAACGATGATTCTCATGCAAGAATGCTAGTCTTGGTCTGTAGGTCTGAACGATGCACGAGTCTAGTCTGTTCCCTCTCGGTAGGCACAGCTGTCCATCAGTTGCTTGGGCTGCCCCCACTTGGAGTTCGGCCAAAGCATCATCTTATGCCAAAAAAGGGTATCTAATATCAAGCACATGAGTCTCGATGTGGTTCAATCACCCAGGATTATTTCTTCTCATTCTATATTCCAGTGGCCATAGATTGTAGTTCTGCTCTGCATAACATTTCATGGGTATGCCGCAGTCCGTTTCTTTCTACACCTCGTCAACCCTAATGGCGAAGGGCGCCGGGAAACCGGTTTCCATCACTCGGCGGAGCCAGTGTCACACTCGAAGCTTGTCGGATCCGCAACTATGGATTGGATCCCAGCCTATAGATCAGATTCAGTCGAACAGCAGGCGGACCGAGCATCGGTTCCTGGTGGGCGGGAAAACCTCTCGACGCACGTTCTCCCATTATGGGGTGGAAAGAACGCTGGCGTGGCGGGCTTTCCCGGCGGCCCGGATCGTCGCCTGTTAGGTATTAAAGAGGAAGTCTTGTGAGGGCTTTCCCCTATCAATTTTTAATGTGGAGAGATTCGACGGTTAGAATGCGTAGCGGGGCCTTCCTCCTTCCTCCTTCCACCTCCTCCTGCTGTATTCTATGACAGAGAATACATGTTATTCCCGGACGAAGGAAAGTCTTCCGCGCGACTTGAAGAGGCTGTTTGGCGCCGGCGTGGCGACCAAGGCCGATCGCGGCGAGAATAGGTGTGGGTCAACCTTGGACCCGTGAGACAAAGTCAGCGAACCACGTGGGCCTGCTTCTAGGAAGTCATAGAGTGCGGTGTTGCGAGACGAGTAGAAAACGTTAGTTTTTGTTGAGGTCCCTATCTCCGCCTTAATTTCTCGATTTTATTGTTTCTTCGGTCCAAAATTGCATGCCGTCAGCTATCCTATGCCCTTATTTATTAGATAAAAACTGATATGAAAACAATTTCTGGTCCATTAGGTTATAAAAGTCAACCCATTTTTTTCATCGTCACTGAATCTTCTAGTCCGCTTCCCGCAAACATATATACTAGTACAAAAATAGATACATAGAAACTGCCTCCAAAATTCTGCAAACTACCCGCCCTCCAAACCCGGGTCTTCTAAACCTTCATTGAAATCATTCACAGATGCAAAACCCTGATAACTAAATTATCTACTTAATGGCGCGGCAACGGTGCACCAACTAGAATCCCAGTCCGAATAGCTATACGAAAGCGGACCCATAAATAGTGAACAGTTGCATGTGAGATAGAGGCCACACTTGTGAGATGTATGTTCCCTGATTAATTCCTTGCAATGTACGTCTCATTGATAGCGAATCCTGCCTGGGTCCTCTTCGCAGGTTCATCATTCTAAAAATGTATTTGCTCGTCTCCTCTGACAATCTCACGAACCATGAATTTAGGTCATAAAACGGCGCAGTTTTTTTTTAGAATGGGCCGAACTTCCGGGAGGTCGGTCACCCTCTCGGTACTTCACACACCCTATTTACATAGGTGACTGTCAGCACGTTTTTCGGAGCTGGGGCACCCTTCGGCGCGTTATTCTAGACCACACTGTTGTTGTTACGAGACGTGTGAAGACTCAATAACCATTCATTATGCGCTGCGAACCAAGCGAGGGGCCGGAGAAGGAACGAGGATGAGCAAGCGATGTCTTCTTCGTTCTAGCCTCCCCTGAGGAAGGGCACAAAGACTGGACGAACAGGGACACGTTCACGTTTCGGAAGGAAGGATTATTTGGAAGGTAATGATAGATCATTAGAGACATTCCTCGAAGACAAAAAGTAAGAGGTCGTTCTGATTGTGCTCTATTGAGAGGTAGCTGACAATAGGTCCCATATACTTGGAAATGAGGCATGATAGATCATTATCGGTGCCAACTTGCTGTGGGTCGGGCATCATAACAGTTTGTGATCAAGACGCAGAATCTGGGCATTAGATTCTCCGTATTTAGAGAATAAGGCCGCCCAGATCTGAATCAACTGTCATCGCGTATACTGGGCCATATACTGAAGAACCAAAATTAATTTGTCGCGTTGTCTATTCGAGCGAATTACATTCTCCTAAAACAGCGAGTGATATCTGCTCCTATGAAGATGCTTCAGCTTAGACGAGCACGGAAACCCTTACGCTGAGAGGGAAGACGAAAGGGGGAGAGAGAGAGAGAGAGAGAGATCTTATGCGACAGGTTGGTGCCACCCTTCTCTCTCTCTCTCTCTCTCCCTCTTCTTGTTGCATTCTCTCACTTACCTGCCCAGACCCATCCGGCTGGAGGCGTTCGTGGAGTGCTCTGAAGGTCTCTCGGACAGAGTGGCGTCCAGCTGTCCACTGACGGCGAAAGCTGTGCCGCCGTCATAATCACGGTTGTAGATCCCTTCCCAGTGGGATAGATTCTCTGATTTACCACGTACCTGATGAACGAGTCTACGCGTTGCCGACAGTTTTTCTCTCCTCTAGTCTGCACATTTCTGATTGGGTGAGGCAATGAGATCTCCCGGGAAGCTGGGCACTGTGTGAAGTGGGCGGGCTGGGAGGATGTGCGTCGTGTCGGAGTGGTCGCTTCCGGCCACGAAGCTTCTTCCCCGGCGGCCGCTCGCCGTCTCTGGTTCGCTTGGTGCAGGTCGGGAACGGAGCCCCGTCTTCCTTACCAGTGATGTAGCCCTCACATGGGGATCCGCCCTCGCCTTGCATCAACTGAATCAGAGGGGGAGGCGGAGGTCACAACCGTCGCCGGCGGTGGTGGTTTGTCGGCGTCTGATCTCCTGCTGCCCATGTGCTGCTCCTTGCCTCCTCCTGTCGTGCAGGTGAGCGTTTCATATCTTATTTTCCTCCCCGGGTGATCGATTTAGGTTCTAATGCGAGTGGTAGGTACGCTTAGATCTCGAGGTGACTCGATACTCGTGTGGCCCGTCTAGTCTCGGAGAGTATTCAATTGATCGTGTTTCCTAGTTCCATCATCCGGCTCCGTGATTCGGGTGGATCTCTCCTCTGCTCTCTGATAGTCAGACCCCAAAGAAAGTGGAGGAAGAAGACGAGGAAACGTATCTCCATCAGATGAAAACGGTCCGACCGCGGCCTTTCCATGCCTGACCTTGCGCGAGCAGTCGCGATCTCCCCGCTCGATTTAGACATGAAACCCATGAAATCACCAGCCATGAAACCCTATCTCTCTCTCTCTCTCTGTGAGTGGATCTGAGGACGAGGAACAAATATCTCTCTAAAGTCGCTACGTTTTCCCCGCACCGCCCACGCCCCTTTCCATTCTATTCTTTCTTTCTCTGAATCCGTCCTTGCCTGCTTCCCTGTTCGTATTTCTCTGAATCTTTCAGTCCAGGTTGTTAAGTCTCGGCTTCTTTCAATATCATCGCCGAGACTAGCGCTATTTTTCTGCTCATAAAATGATCCCTTACACTTTCGTCTTGAATCCAGTGAATTTATCTCGCATATGATGTGACCGGGCCCGGAGGAGATTTACAGAGGCTCAGTTTCGCCCGGAAGAGTGGAGCTTTCTGCTCCCCGTGCTCCCCCTTTTCTTCTTGCTTTCTCCATCTTCTGAGTCTTATGATCACGCCAAGCTGTAGAATGGAGATTCCTGCTCCTTATGATGGTCCTCGTCGACTTGGGTGTGCTCATCATCTCGCAGTTCTCGCTTCTCCAATGGGCTTCCTCGACTGGATTTTTCCGGGCTGAGATTCTCAGCGATTCTCATCACTCGAGTACGTAATTCTTCTCCGCTTTCTTGTTCACGGGAACGCGCGCTAATGGGCTCTCTCTGGGTACGTGGACCAGTTACGGGCTTATGAACATTCTTAAATTGGGCTTCGAACTGCGCAGTCAGAACTGCGATACTTGCTTACTGCGCCGATCCTTCCTTGACTTTGCCTTGGATGAGAGGGGAAGAAGGGGATAGCGGGGAGAGAGAGAGAGAGACTTGGGTCTGGGGAGTTACAGGTAGAGTTAACTATTTTCGTGGGCGGTGGTCCGCCTCCATTGCTGATGTGTCTGTAAGGAAAGGGGCGTAAGGATCGGGGCCTACTCGTAGTAGGCCCCCTCCCCAGGCTAGGGCTTCTCCCTCTGTGCGCGGAGCTCCGCCGCGGCGACGAAGAGGCCGTGGAAGCCGTACGGCACCCGCCGGGGCAGGGACACCTCAGCGACCACCTCCAGGTCCGGCGACCTTGCGTCCATCATGAGGAAGCTCGACTCCCGCGTGCTCTCGTCGTGCAGGTACGTCACCAGGTACCCGTCGTCCTCCTCCTCCCCCTCGTCCGGCGCCGGCACGAAGATTGGCTCGCCACCGAACCTTCGGGGGCCGTACATGCGGGAGGCGGCCACGCAGTCGCTGCCCTTCTTCTCCATGTCGAGCTTCACCACCCCGGCCACCTTCGGCTGCGGGTCCCCCACACCGAGGTAGGCGTAGCGGTTGCGGCGCCCCAGGTAGCTTGGGTTGATCACGCCGAAGTCGAGGTTCCCGGCGGAGAGCGGGGTCCGGGACACGGCACCGCTCCTGAGGTCGATCCTCACCATCTCCACGCAGCTGTGGACGAGCTCCATCCTGTCGAGCGCGTGCTCAACAGACAGCACGTTGGGTGCCACCAGCACCACGGTGGCGCCGCCGTCCTCCTCCCACGCGTTGACTGTGTGCAACGGGTTGAATCCGGGCACGTCGAACCACCTGATGTCGCTCTCGGACGCCGCGTACCGCGGCAGTACACCGACCCTGGGCACCTTCCCGGCGTTGGCACCGACGGGAGAGCCGGCCCCCAGTACCATCTGCATCGGCTGCATGACGATCTGGATGTCGCAGAAGATGGCGTACTTGTCGGTGATGGCGAAGTCGTGGAGGAAGGAGGGCTGGGTGACGGAGAAGATGGGCACGTCCGACTGCTTCCTTCCCTCAGCGTCGAAGCGGAAGTAAGTGACGAACGGGGGCACCGGCCCGTACCGGAACGCGAAAACCTCGCCGGTGATGGGGTCCTTCTTGGGATGAGCCGTCATGCCCATGGAGAGTTTGCCCTCAAAGTCCCACCGGCCGATGGTGTTCATGTCGCCGGATGGGGAGAGGTGAACCGCGTAGGGGAGGTCCGACTCTCCGAGGGCGAAGAGACGACCGCCGAAGAAGGCGAGGCTGGTGTTCGCTAGGCCGACGCCTTCGGAGGGATCCATCTGTCCCGTGACCACGCGGGCGACGATAGCAGCGCCACGAACGAGGCCACCGACTCCGTGGAAGCCCGAGAAGACGTTTGGGAGGACGTTCCCGCCGGCCTCCCGCTCCACCAGGTACTTGTAGGTCTGGACATAACGGCTGCACAAGGTGGCAGGTGCGGCGCCGTCGCCACCAGCGGGGAGGAGTATGGAGTGAAGCATGCCGTCGCCGTCGAAGAGGTGGTGCGTCCCGCGGGGAAGGTGCTGGGGGTTCGGGCCATTGCGGACGTAGGCGCCGCCGCGGAGGGCGCGGGGGATTCTTCCCCTGACGACGGGGCAAGGCGTCGGGGGTAGCTCGCCGACGGGGGCCCAGTTGTCGGCGAGGACGTAGCGGGGGTCGACGGAGGGGCGTTGGACGGGGGGGTCAATGAAATTGTTGATGATGGCGTCGAAGGCGTTGCTGAGGGAGTTGGCCAGGGATGGCGCTGGTGTCGCCTCGATCGGCCTCCTGAGGACCTTTACGGGCGGGGGGGCCGATGAGGGGGAAACCGAAGAAGGGCGGACAGTGGTAGTGCTGCTCTCGGCGGGAGGGCGCTCGTTGGTGAGAACTGCGGAGGTGCGGCGCTGGTGATGGCCAGAAGGAAGGACCTTGGAGGCGGAGTGGGGGTTGTGGGGAAATGGGATGGCGGCACTGGAGAGGAAGGAGCACGACAGGGCGTCCATCGCGGGTGACCCTCTCTCACTTACTCCGCGCTTCACTGGACGGTGCCCCCTCCCCAAGTGGGCGAGATCCGATTGAAGCTCGCATATGTGGGTGGGTGAGGGGAGAGGGGGTGCGAAATATTTATTAGCTCGCGTCATCCCCGGTCCCGGCGGCGGCGCTCTGAAGGATTATCCGTTCCCCGAAAATATCTAGCGCAATGGAAGAAGGAGACGGCGAAGCGGCGGTAGGCCCGAGTTGCCGTCGCGGTCGCGTGGCTCTTTCTGGCCAGCGGGCAACTTCAATGGCCGATATTTATGGCGTTCTTGTCACCCTCTGCCGCGCCCGTTAGCTGAAAATTAAAGGACCACGTCGAAGGCATGACGGAGACGCTCCGGTGAAAGATCAGCAGAGGGAAAGATCTCGCAGCCCAATCCTCCTCCTTCCTCACGGCCAAATACTCTCTCCCCTTCTCGTCCCCTCACCAACGAAGCTGTCTACACTATCAAAGCAAACGCAGTGCCGGTTAGCAAAATCGTGGCATCTCTCTCCATCATCGGGTTACTTTCAAGGGCATGCGCTATCATCTTCATTTGCGTGCCCGATTACGGTGAAGAGAAGATGTCAGACGAGCTGACATCCCAACATCTCCCAATATGAAACATTGGTTCAGGAAAAATCTCAATCTACGATTTTACAGCGGGCGTAGAGGTTCGATGTGGCGGTTCCTATCTTGGTCCCTTGCTCTCCTTTAGAACGCGAAGATTGAAACCCACCCCGAGATTTCTACCTGTTTGAAGAATTGTGGTGGATGGGATCTCTATCTGAACGCCGAGGAATAGGGACCTCTCATGGAAGTCTCACCAGATTCAGGGGCCGTCCCGAGGATGAGAGACTACGACGCCAGGAACATGCCATGCTCTGCAGTCACCTATTTCACTCGACGCTTGATAAACCTCAATTTTATTGGAGTAAAAATCACAATCACTCCAGCCGTCCGTAACTAGTCTTACAAACGCCATCCGTATTCGACTCCAACCAATGTTCCAATGTTCCAGCTTACGATGTTCCGCATGTTTTTTCGGGGAAAGTGTCAGCGGCGTCCAGGATTGCTTTATTCCACTCTCATCACTGCCGCATCCAAGGACACGACTGGCGTCCAGCCGCCAGCAAACCAGTGAAGCTCAAAGAGACCACCCCTCCCCTTTCGGTGGGAGATGAAATCTGATGGGAGATGAAATCGGTGTTCGACGTAATGCCAGTGTCAGAGGGTCCCCCGCGGGGCAAGCAACGCAACATCGACGGCTGGAGGACAGCATGCCCGCAAGGGGGCGAACTGACAGCTCGGAGACCCCACCTAGTTAACGGTCGGCCCATCAAACGGCGGAATTGTCCCCGGTTAACTCCAAACAAGACAAAGTGGACGGATGGAGAGACAAAAGGGTTACCACGTTGAGGATTTTTCAGTCTTCCTCCGGGGTCTCCCTTGCGGATGAATAGCCGCTGGCCGGGAACACCTCGTAGTAAAGGTCCTCGAGTTGGTCCGGCTGTCTGTGAAAGCATTATGGTGGGGCAGACGGAGGGACGGCAAGGCCGATGAAGCTGCAGGTGATAGGGGAGACGGCCAAACGTAAGAGGTTGCCTCGATGGGCTCCCTGGAGGGATCGTCTTGTACGCGGAGGTTTAGGGCGGAGCCGGAGGAGGGTTGACAGAGATGGTTTTGACGCCGAATAGAGGGCGGGGGCGGCCGTTGATCACCACAGTTGGGTACCAATATATACGACTATTATTTTCCACACACCACCCTCACGACGAAGACGTAGCCGTCAGGAAAGAAGCGTAGTTTAATACCTGGCCACTCCATCCATCCCAAGAGATTAAAATTTCATAAGAGGATAAACTTTCCCCTTCTGTTTGACAAGGACGTTGGATTCTTTGGATTCGATATTCCAGCGGGGAATTCTATGTTAATCTTCGGAAAACATATAAAATGCAAACTATAATCATCACTTGAAATTGATAGAACCGGTCCGACCTCAGATATAGTAGTAGAGGAGCCCAATTTGTAACCCATCCCACTGAATGCTGAGAAACATTCCCCTTCTATTTGGCTAAGAACTTGGATGCTTCGACTTTGATAGGCCAGCGGAGAAGTCCATGCTCATCTTTGGAAACTGTCGAGACACTTAGACTTCATCTGAGCGCCAGTGCTCCTCCTGTTCTAGATACACCTGGGAACAAGGGAACAAAGCAGCCAAAACGGAGAGGGCGAAGGCTTAAAACTCTCGTACTCTCCTCTCTCATTTGGGTATTGGATCGGGGCTGGTATTTATACCAGCCACTAAAATAATAAGGAGAATTCGACTGGTTCAGAAAAGGAAAGAAAAAAATTACGTCAATGAAATAAAATGAAATAAATACATTATATTCTGCAAATTCCTCTTAATTTGGTGAATGTACATCGTCCATTCACAGCTTGGATACAGATTGATGAAAATACGGCTTTGTTCTGGCCTTTGGTAAATATATCTACAACTTGATTACTCATAGACAAATATGGTATGCAAATCAGTCTACTTTTTAACTTTTTTTGATAAAATATGGTATGCAAATCAGTCTACAACTTGATAGTTGACTTATTGTGGTAATAAAGTCTCATTAGATCATCTCTCTTAATCTTCAAGTTTTCTAGAATAATCTTCATCTAGAATACATCACATACACTTTCTATCATAATTCAAAATTATGTTTCTATACTTGGCCTTGTCATTACTTTTTGTTTCTAACTTGTCCATGTAATGAGGTTTCCATCAAGAAAGGTGCAATACCCAGAAGTTGATCTTCTATTTACGATACATTCATTATATTCAGCATTATTCTAAACTTCAAACATTTATTATATTCTATTTCTCTTAAATAAGATATATTTTCCTAGTATCCCTTTTGAGGTTGTACTCAATGAGCTGTATGCAAGTTTACTTGCCTTTAGACTAATCATACTCACTACATAAGAAACACTTGATCATATAGGACACAAGTAATTTAATTTCCTCACTAGTAGTTGACACAGTTCCGAATCTATGACTAACTCTTCCTCGACTTCACTATGTTTGATGCTTGGTACTATTGGAGCATTTATTAGTTTATACATAGTTTTGCCAATTTTTTGTTGTAAATCCATGTTATATTTATATTGAGAAATAAATCTACCCTTGTTTGAGTGAATCAATGTAATATTGAGAAAGTATTTTAATCTTCTGAATGTTATTAACTTGAACTTCTCAGCGAAATATTGATTGAGATATTCCCTTTCTTTGTCATAATTTTTAGATAGAATTATATCATCAATAGACACTATCATAGTTATAGCTCTTCAGAAGAATGATTTACCAAATTTTATTTGTACCCCATTTTGATCATGATCTTTGTAAACCAAGCAAGCAAGGCAACAGCCCACATAAACTATTATTCAGTTTGCATATTATGTTGGTAGTTGAATTCTTCTCATATCATGTGGAGGCTCTATATAGATTTCTTCTTCAAACTTTCTATGTAAAAATACATACTTCACATTCAACTCTGAAGTCATAACTAGTTGACAATGAAGAAAAAAACTAGTTAAGATCTTTCTTTTCGCATGAACAAAAGTCTCAAGATAATTCACCCAATAAGTTTGTGAATATTTTTTTTGCACCCAATTGGTCTTTATCTTTTCGTCAATTTATCTACTCAATATTTTATATTGTAGATTGACTTGTAACGTATAATTTTCTTTCCTATTAGTAGTCTCATCAACTCTGAAGTGATGTTTGTTGGAGTATTAAAATATATAATATTTTGATAATGACTGATAATGTTCTATTTTCATATGCAAAGGAAGATAAAAATAATTTAAATGATGCATGATTCTCATGAAAATAGTATAGATTTGATGAAAAATATGGTTTATAATTTTTACTATTTTTAATAACTTTTATGAGTTGTCTTAGTCGAATAAGGAATGAACATATTGACATACATTTGAATAGATGTGTTGATCTCTAAGAGCGAAATAATAGGGCATTAAAATGAAAATGTGAAAACACTAAAATAAAAATATTAGTTCTATTGAGTGTTTTTTTATTCTAACATATTTTATTTGAGTTTTATTGTATTTTCGAATCCCTAAAAGCCTTGAGAAGAATTATATGAATTTCAAGATCAAAGAAACAACCCATTTTCATGAGCTCCCCCTAACTCCATGAAAAGTTCATTAAGAGAGCTTCATTCAACCATGAAAACCCTATTCAGAGAGTTTCTAGAAGAGTCAAAAGAGTATGCGAAGAGATATAAGGAAGACTACTAAAAAAAGAGTTAGTTATGAACTAGGCAGTAAGGATGCTGATGTCATCAAGCCACAACCCTTGGTAGTAACAAAAGGACTGAAATGAGGAAAGAGAAAGGGTTAGCTGATGAGTGGACAGACCAAAGGCAAGGAAGAAAGTTGAGGAGCTAGGTGGATCTTAGGACTAGCTGATTGCATTCAACAAAGTCAATTTTCATTTTATTATTTTATTATTTCATTTCTTTTGTATTTTTTGGATGACATAGATTGAGTATTCGCAATTATTTCATTTCTTTTGTATTTTTTGGATGACACTAGGAAAGGAGAGAACTTTAACTTTCGTTCCAAGTTTTCATCATTGCGAATTTAATTTTTTTTAATAGTTCATGGTACTCTCTTTTCTCATTCTTGGGTGACAAACAAAGAAAGAAAAATATTTCTATTCAAAATTTTAAGACAATTAAAAAATCATATTTAATTAAAAACTTTCTTAGGACTCTATTGCATGACAAACAATTCAATTTTATTTTCTTTTATGCATTTATTTCTTCCACAAATTTCTTTATTTTAGTTTGTCCATGATTGATAACTAGGGTAGCTTTATAGTTCATGCTTTCATCTTATTTCAGAACTTCACTTCAAATATTTCAAAACACTTTCCAAGTGAATAAAAGTTATTCTATTGATTTCCCTTCCCAT